TAGAAGGGTAAAATGGTAAAAAAGATGAAAATGACGTTTTGCGCAAGAAAATGTAAGTGTAGGAACGTTTTGCGCCAAAAAATGTGAAAGGTAGGAACGTTCTGAGCCCAAAAAAAGAAAGATATGGACGTTTTGCACAAAAACGTGAAAGGTAGGGACGTGTTGCGCCAATTACACTTTTTCTTTTAAACCTTTCTACATTTACACCCATTTGTACACTTTGCAACGTGGCATTATCGAATTGGACAATTTAAAAGTTACACAATTTTTCATCCAATTATTACTTGATAATAATGCAAATGTCAACCAAAGTGTATAAATTCAGTGCACAAATATCAATGCTCTTTTCTTTTTTTTTTGATTAATAAGCTCTATAAAATGAACCTCGCCGTTTCTATGATATCAAAATTTATGTACTAACTTTTGAGTACTATGTAATATGATTTGGTCAACGCTTTCGACCGTTTTTGTAAAAGCGTAGAATAGACATTTTAAATTCAGATTTTGCCAAATGTGCAAAACATTTCAGAAGTTGTCACCTTTAAAATGCACCAATCGATTTTTGCTATATTGTGAAACACATAAGCAAAACAAGAGTTCAAGAAAACACAGAAGACGAGAAATATGAGAGCACATTTTCATGTTAACTTAATCCGATTAAGAAAATTGAGTCGAATTAAGCAGTTAGGCCCTTTTTAACCTAAAAAAAACACTCGATAACAAATGGAAAACAATCCTTTTCTTCATTTAATTTTATCATAATGAAAATAAATTCTAATAAGCCAGCAGAAATCGAAATTATTTGATCATAATGAAAACAAATGCATGGCCATCCAATTTGAGAAAAACCCAATAAGACAGCAGAAATCGAAATTAATCATTTATACAAAAACCAAAAGGATAAATAATTATTTTTTTCTTCGTGGTCAATTCATTCATTCACAAACAAGCACCCCACGTTCTTCCAACGTCTCACTTTTTCAGAAAATTTCGGAACCATTTATCAAAATCCCTGCATCTCATTGAATCTCTGGTTTCCCCTTCTCATTCAATATTTTTTCTCTCCAATTTTATGAATTTTTCTTTCATTTAATTCCATATTCATTCATTACGCTTGAATCAGAAAATGGTTCGAGCAATGGAGGAAGATGATCAACCAATGGAACAGCAAAAATCTGGGTGGGCATTTACGCGGTCAGAAGATCTTAAATCTTCGATGGGCAGCGATGGAATGAAAGAGAGAGAACATTCAGGCAAGTCAATTATAATTTTCATTTACCAATTTTTAAATGGATTAATTTATCTCAAATGTTCGTCGTTTTTCCCCCTCCTGATTTGGAGATTTTGATGTCGTCCAGACATTGATAAAATGGATGTAAGGTGCTGCATTTTGTTTATAGAAGCTTGTTCATTTGAATTTCACGAGGACGATGACAAATAAAACTTTATATTTCAATAAATTATGTGGGCTACACGAATTTTTATCCATATTTGTTCTAATAGATATGCTCGCGTTAATGTGGCATTAAATGATAGATGACCTATCATTTAATCAATCATTTACATCCATATAGACTGAGGATGCATACCCATTGGAGATGAATAACATTTTTCAATATTTTAAACTTTTAGACAAGACATAATATGGTAGCATTGAATTTAAGTCTTGTTGTCAGTAATTGTTATATTGTACATTTAGTGATGAATAATTAATGTTGATTTGCAAGTAAAAATAATTCACAAAACTAAGTTTGTGACCTCATCTGTTTAATATTGGTTGTTCAACATAGATTATTTTGTTTACAAACTTATTTTTTCGATTTTGGCTATAATTTAGATATGGAGCAAATGAAGGAAAAATTCTCAAAATTGCTTCTTGGGGAGGATATGTCCGGTGGGGGAAAGGGAGTTTCATCGGCTTTAGCACTATCGAATGCTATCACAAATTTAGCAGGTACCTGAATTTTGATCATTTCAGTTTACAGATGATACAATATTGTTCAATCATTTCAACAATACTAAATTCAGTTTTCGTTTGTCAGTTTCCTTTTGTCGAGGGAACTTTTGCATAAGAAATTTCTGAAGTTTTGTTATGTATGTACATATTGTTATAGATTTTGAATGTAGCTAGAAGTTTTTTTTTCTGTGTTTTTCATAATTCTTTATTTTCCTGAGAAAATACAGCCTCTGCATTTGGAGAACAAAAGAGATTAGAACCCATGGCACCAGAGACCAAAGCAAGATGGAGAAAAGAGATCGACTGGCTCCTATCTGTCACAGATCACATTGTTGAATTCGTGCCTTCAAAACAAAGGTCGAAAGATGGAACACAAATGGAGGTAATTTATTTCTCTCTATCATAATGTTTGCCCTAGGGATATTCATTTGAGGAAGCCTAAGTATGGACGTTCATGTGTTTATCAATCCATTTCAAAGGAGCATAAAGTTCTTCATTCTTGATCAGATTATGGTGACAAAGCAACGAACAGATCTCCAAATGAACATCCCTGCCCTACGGAAGCTCGACGCTGTGCTCCTTGTAAGTGTAAAAGTTCCCCACTTATGATTTTGTTTCATTGTACTCATATTCATAGTGTTAAATGTGAGCAGGATTGCCTCGATAACTTTAAAGACCAAAACGAGTTCTACTATGTAAAGAATGCCGACGGAAGCACAGACGACAAATGGTGGATTCCTACTCCTAAAGTTCCTCCAAACGGCTTAAGCGAGACAACAAGAAAGTGGCTACAGTCTCAAAAGGATTCTGTAAACCAAGTACTCAAAGCATCTATGGCTATAAACGCTCAGGTCTTGACAGAAATGGAGATTCCCGAAAGTTACGTAGATACTCTCCCCAAGGTAATAGGAAACCAAAATTTAAATCATGTTTCTATGTTGCTAGAGTTAAGGTTTGTGGCATGTTTGAAACACAGTAATAGACAGTGCAATGAACAATGTTTTAGCTTATTTTTCATGACAGAATGGGAGATCAAGCCTTGGAGACTCGATCTACAAGAGCATCACGGATGAATACTTTGATCCAGACATTTTACTTTCGACTCTAGACTTGTCATCGGAGCATAAAATCCTTGAATTCAAAAATAAGATTGAGGCATCAGTGATAATCTGGAAAAGGAAAATGAATGCTAAAGATAGCAAGTCTTCTTGGAGTTCAGCCGTGAGTTTGGAGAAGAGAGAACTTTTTGAAGACAGAGCAGAGACTATTTTGCTCATTCTTAAGCACCGGTTTCCCGGAATTCCACAATCTTCTCTAGACATCAGTAAAATCCAATGCAACAGAGTAAGAAGTTCTTTCAATATCTCACTTGACTCTTTTTAAGAGTTTCTTCAATTTTTTTTTTTTTAATGTAACTCCTTCTGCAGAAACTAACACCTAACTTATAGCATAGTTGGCGGGGAAAATTGAATCATGTTAGACAGTACTAAAAGAAGAGAAATAAAAACTCTAATCTTGTTCATAATAATGTCCAGCCATGTCTAGTTGTACATACCAAACAGGTACTTAATGTTCATTTGTGCTAAGTCTGATATTTTCTCGGTTTGGCAGGATGTGGGACAGGCTATTCTTGAAAGCTATTCAAGAATAATTGAAAGCCTAGCATTCACAGTGTTGTCGAGAATAGAAGATGTCTTACAAGCCGACTCTTTTGTACAGAATCCATCAAATGGAGAACAAAAGAGGTACCCCTTAAAAGACCCTTCACCTATTACCGTGAACTTTCCTAACGACGAATTAGAGAAAACAAAATCAGATGAAACGTCGACTTCAATGACACTGCTAGATTTCATGGGATGGAATTTAGATCAAGGAGGTACTGATGCTAACAAAGATGTTGATTCCAAGGTCCTCTCTAAACCGCCCAACATTGTGACGAGCAAGAAATTTTCCTACATGGAGAGGCTAGAGAGTCTAGGGGGTGCAAGAAGTCCAACAGCACGCCATTAATTGACTGTGTTGCAGACGACTAACTTACAGAACTCGTATCTAGTATAAAAGCTCAGCCTAATGTACATACACAACTCGGACGTGCCATAGAGATCTAGTAAAATTCTAGTGCTTTTCTGTGAATAGGATGTATGTGCTGAATTGTACTCCATGGATTATATTGTAACTTATTTTGAAATTGATCTTACGTAATTGTAATCGAGTTACTTTATGATTGAATCAGATACAACTAGAATTGTACTGAAATACTTGTAATATTAAACAGTCACAAGTAGATTCTGATACACTTACAGGCTTTTGAAATGACAAATTGAACACAATAAATTTAGTAGGTGGAAAATGTGGTACCGAGGAAATCAGATTTTACCACGTGGTCCGGGCTTGGGTGGAAGTTGTGGGCCCTTTACAATAGGTAAAGCGTCTCCTGTTGCTTTGGAGCTCACATAGGCAATGGTGAAGCCACCTCCCAATATCAAGAACTTGAGCAAAAGACCTCTCTTGGTGAAAGGAGCAGCAAATGTCTCGAAGAACTTGCTCTGTAATCGTCAATGAATGTCAACAACGAAACTATAGTATAATACTAGCCCGGCACTGAACTTTTCACGGTCCAGATTCTTCTACCCACTTTGACACTTCGTATACATTCGAGATAGATATGTACCTGAAGGGGGTTGTAAGGTGAAGGTGCATCTGATCCATACAAGTCCCATTGGCCAGTGGTGTTGCCCAGATCCTCCAAATCAAAGTACACACTCTTGTCACCATACTTTGCCACCACAGCACCAGCCCTGCAAAACAATACAATAATCAAAGATCTAATTTCACATATTCTAGGCAGTTGACATCAAGAAATACGCAAATACGATAAATGGAAAGTAATTGGCTCCTTCAACTCGATATGAGTGATGTGGTTTCAATGTGGTTTCTAAGTAGATACAAGAACCGAGTTCAAATTCATATTAATAAATGCGTCTCCTTTCTAATTAGTTAGATGTGATTCAACGTGTAGAGTCGAGAATTGTTGCCTGTAGTTTGTGGGCTTGACTTTTAGGGAAGATGGCTTAACATGGACCTTAGTTCCAGCAATGGAGCTCCCTGCAAGGCCCTTAACACAAGAGGGCTGCACTGCAGCAAAGGTTGCCGAGGATGCCATTGGATATGCTAAAATGTGAAGGGCTAAACTAACAAAACTACTTTGATCTTTTTAGAAGGATCTTAGCTTGCCACGTGGCACTCTAGAATTCTTTTTGGAGATTATGGAATCCCATTTAGGAGGTGCCAAGTGAGTTATAGTTGGATAGGCCTATCATTCTGGGATTATTGGTTCTATCTTTTTGTCTTGCTGGGGTTTGCTTTCATGTATGGTCCTTGAGTTTGGGTTTTTGGCATTTTTAATTTAAACCTTTCATTTTAGGTGCACTTTCGTCCTTTTGTATAGAAATCATCTAAATTTGATCAAAGATCATTGTCAATTTCAAATACGTATATAAGGAGGGAAAATAAATTAGAGAAGAAAATAAAAGGAAAATGTTATATTTTTTTCCCTAACATCTTCCCACCCTCGCTTTTGAGGTGGTGTAGGGATGATAATTCGAACTGTTAAAATTGAAAATCGCAGTTAATTGAACCGAATGAGGCGAAAAAAATCGAACCGATGGTGTAATGGGATGTTTATGATTTTGATTTTCATGACCCGATTCCGGGTGGGGCGGATATGGTATTTAGCGACGGTGCTCCGCTCCGAACCGATTACCCGTTAAAAAAAATTTAATTCGGCAATTGGGCTTTCCATTATTCTTTCTTAAAATTAATTGGGCAATTTTGACAATTGGACTTCTCCAAAATTCTGGCCCAATTAACATTACTAGTAAACCCTTAACTCAGTAATCTAACTTTAACCATACACCCTAAAATTGAAAATTGGAAACCGAACTTACAAAACATTTGTCCACTCAAACAATGAACCAAATAGATTTACCGATGCTCTGCTGCCTGTACCCCAACTTCAAATTGTAGTAAGCAGCAACGAAGTCTATCATCTTGTGAGCACACTCCCTGATTTGTTCTGCGTCCATTGGCTTCAAACCATCTTTCTTGTACAATTCAACAAAACTCAGATACATTATACTTGATTGTATTTTCTTTATAATATTATTTATATATATGATGCGTGGCATGAAAAATGTGATTTTTAGTCTGTTTTGCTGACTAGTTATGCGTTTTTCAATTTCTCTATATTCATAAGAAATAGATAGTCGAATTATTAATTTGGTTATAGAATTAATGTGGCTTTTTGCTGAT